GCAATTATTGTCTTTGATGTGTTTTTTTTTTTCGGTTTCCTGAAGTTGAGCGTATGGTTTATGCGGCTTAAATTTATACACGAGCAATGAACGAACCTCATAGTATCAGGTTTAAAAAGCCCTTAGACATTTTTTGACCCGCAAATTCAAAGAAAAGGTTCCGAAGATTATTTAGTTATGATTTTGGCTGTAAACAGAAAGCTCTAGCTCTGAGCGATTTTCTTGCCTCGAGTTCATCTTGAAAAAGAGCAAACACCGGGAAGCCGGCTTAAAACATAAATAAGCTCATGCTTACCTGACTCATGATTTTCTGAGACACTTTACTCTCAATACTTCTCTTCGTGAATGAAAATTATTGTCTCTGTACATGTTTCACCGAATTAAATTTATTTCATTGATTGTTAGTAGTCCCTTTCGCAATTTTTATCGCTGCACCGGTTGTTTCCAGTCGAACATAAACATCGCACGCAGGAATACTCAAAACGCCGCGCATAAACATCACTCGCTTTTAAAGATTACACATAACAAAATCATACACAGTTTAATGAATAAAGGGAAATAAAACCTGAACATAACAATTTCTCTATCATGTTGAAGCGTAAATGGTAACTCTATTAATCGCACTGCAAATTTGGTGCCTGTCAAAAGTGAGAACCCGTCCGGCTGGCCGAAAAGTGATTTGGGAATTTTTTTTTTTATCGTTTTCATTAAAAGCCCATAATTATTACCCTGCATATCATATAGGACCAGATTTTTCTAACTGAAAAGTCCCGGCATTATAGAATTCTCTTCATGAAAACGTTTTATAATTCAATGCTATAATTTGTTGTGCAAAGGAAGCGCGTGCTTTGATCGTCGTGGATATTGAATGAGCGCAAATCCTCTTGCAAAATTGTGAAAAACTGCAGAATTATAGGTTTAAATAGGGCAAAAAAGAACAAATTCTGTCCGAGGTCTGTATCATAAAAAAAAAGGGCCTCATAGTTCTGTTTACCTGAGACGTGATGAGAAAAAGTATATTTAAAAGGCTGGTTTACACGCCACCAGATTCGTCGCCAAGATTTACTAGTAAACTAAGGTTGTCGAACACAAAAAATCCGGCCTGATTTTTTATTTTGGCCTCTCTTTTAGACAGAGGAATGCAACCGCAACGTGTAAATTGGCTGCCACCAACGACTATCGTGGCGCGTGTGTTTCTTAAAATTATATTTCGGGGTTGTCCAATTATCCATAGTCTCTCTAACGGAGCAATGTTGGAGAGACTGATGAATGCCACATTATGATGCAACAGCTAATGCAAATACAATACACGAATACGTCTACTTTTTTGCAGGCCTAATCTACTGTGATCGAACATGATTGCTATTTTTCGGTGTACAAATAAGACTATTTAATAACTCGATGTAAAATTTGTTTCACTCTTGGTCAAATTATTTATCTCTAAAATCACTCAGCCTTTGCCTCAAAAGTCAAATGAATGTGCCCTGATCTGTGGATTACAAGTTTATTGTTTGATGTAAATTATGAATTTATCAACGGGAACTTCGCTTTTAGCCCCGGCTAAATCTATATATTAACCAAATAACAAGACATCATTTCTACACGTGAGACTTACGCTTAATTAATGAGTATTGCGTTTACATGACAGTACATACCAGTCCACAACAAGATGTGGCTCGTCTACAGTAATTGCAACAATAGCTAAATTTAGATTTTGAAACCTTTCAGTTTTTAGTACCGTTTTCGACCAAGGCTTCAAGTTCCTAAGAGGACGCCATGTTTGATTTTGCGGAAACACATGCGGAATTCAACCGAAAGTCCGATTTCCGCGCTGATCAAGCATTCTCGTTCCCAGAGCTCCACTGGGTACGCGGGACGGGACTGGGGCGAATGCCCACTTCCGCCTTCATACTTTCGCTCTTTAGGGAAATTTCTTATTAAACCTACTTACGAAGTACGTGCGTGGCTCTTAGTAAGACATACTTCGTTAAAGCAATTGGAATTCCTGGTAAGTAAATGTTATTGCATATATCTATAACTTTTGCCCTTTTCCTCCTTCGATTCATAGTCTTGTAGTTTAATTTTCGTTTCATTTTACCGGCAATATCTTTCATTCTGCTAAGCGAAGTTTAAATAATGGTTCGAATATATCTTGCTCGAATATTTTATACTTAAGTTGGATACGCCTGAATCATAGTTACAAGCATCTCTACGATCAGGACGATCAGTCGAAAATAGTTATTTCATGATAATAGATGCGACCGCTAAACATTTTATAGTGGAACGTTAACTTTGATATAAAACGAACTATAACGAAGTCCCCGGTGTAACGAACGATTTTCTTTAACCTAGTAATAGTAAAATAAATGAAAAAGAACCTCGATGTCACGAAACCTCGTTATACGTACAGCGGCTCCGCCGCCAAATCTCACTTGCCTAGCGGTGACACAATACCGCCAGCTACACAGGCTACAAATTCGTGTAACAACCCGGCTTACAATCATACCAAAACAAGCGTTATTTATATTTAACCCACTTTGTAGTGCTATTTAGAGATCTCTTAATCTATATTTTTACCTCCTTACCTAGTATTACCAAGCCCAGTTTAAAAAAAACATAGTCCGTGGTCCGCATTTTTATACCTAGTCCATGATTTATAGCTTTCTATATATACCTAGCCCGCAGTCGGTAATCCGTAGTCCGCAGAAAATGGTGTGAGTATAGGAGCAGGGAGGGGGTGGGGAAGAAAGGTAGGGAAACGCTTGCAGACAAACCCCCGGATCAGGATTTTGAAAACCTTTCACTTGCCTTGTCATGCCTGACTTCGCGCACCGACATTTGATGCTTTCATCATAAATTGACCAATAAAACTAGTAGTTTCCAGTGGAAAGTGAAGTGGTGCGAGTAAAACATGACAATTCAAATAATTTGCATCAGTTGCAGTTTATTTCGATTGTTGATATTTGACATTAACCGTGTCAAATAACTGTGCATGTAACGCTACACGACACGAAGACGATCGATAAAAACGGAACTTTGAACCAAAATAAGTGTTTATATCAAGCTACATTGTATAAATTAAAAGTCCACGAGAATATTAAAATGAGCGCATTATTTGTTTGAAACCTGTCCACGATAAAGTTAAGAGCAAGCGAGCGTTGGATTGAGTGAAAGAGTGAATTTCCAATGGAGTTCAATATTAAACTGGTTCATAAAGCTTCGCTAGCGTACCAAATCATTTTCAATTTTTGCTTCCGTCGTGTATAAAATGTTTTACTACCAAGGGAAAACAAATCATACATACATAGATCCAAAAATCTCAAATGTAGCACGGAGCCGAGACTTGGGTGTAAGCCAAACGTCGAACTTTTGAATGAGTTTGGATCGTCCAACACGTTCTACGATCCGTCTGCTTCAGACGGATAGATCGTCTCTGGGACAAACGTCGATCTTCACATGCGACGAAATAAATTTTGTATGGTAATGTATATTTAGCCTCGTTCGGGAGAAAATTTATTTAATTGACTGCGAACAGACATACTCCCGTGTTTGTTGCTTCCGTCTTCGTTCGCAAGATAGTTTCGATTCGCGTGCCACCTTATTACAAACTGGAGAAAGTGATAAGAGACTGCACGCAGTACTCTGCTATTGCTGAACGTTTCTGTCCGTTAATAATTTAAAGGTACAATGTAGAATGGAGTGGTTTTTTGGCGAAAAGGAAGCGTTTTCCATATGGGACTTTCTGATTTTGTTGGTGTACGAAGGATCATTTCTTTCCTATTATTATAATAACCGAAGAATTTTCATTCGCCAATAATTATTAAAAATTGCTATATAGTCGTACCAAGATCGAACCACTTCTAAAAATAGCATAACTCAGCTAACCGCAGTTTTTTTTTTTTGCGGGAACGATCTTGAACGGATGATGAACAGCACGAGAGGAACTTGCTCTGAGCACGTGCAAACAGGATCAGTTATTTTGACAATGATAAGGATGGGTGGTTTTACTGGTATTCAAACAGCTGTCTTCATGCTACAACTACCGGTGGAAACCGGTGACAAAAAACTAAATTCCACATACTGCGAAAAAGCTATTAAAAGAAGGGAAAAACCGGCCTGTTGTTTTACCAGCCCTCTCCATGGCCAGAGGTTTTGCAGGAACATCCACATTTCAGTCCCATTTCAGTTTTAGTAACAGCAGGAGTCGATTACAAGTAATCGGCTCCTAGTAACAGAAATGAACAACATGCTATTTTAAGCAAACAGGTTTTACCGACTGGCAGTCTTTTATTATACAATTTGGATCTCGCCTGATACCATTTTCAGATACTTTTATCATTGCAGTACGATTTCTGTGACTCTTTGTAAAGGTTAGTGGGACAGTGAAATTTTCTGAGTATGTAGGTAATTTTCGGGTGTTATGGGGCTAAGACTTTGTTGAGGGGGCCTGAAGCAAGATAAGTAAGTCCACAGACGTGGAAAGAATTTTTATCTTTCCAGTAAGCTAGAAAACTGAGCAGACAAACAACAATCCGTAAAAATGAGCTACAACTTTGAATTTTGAGCAATAAATGGTGCAGACGGTGAAGCATAATAATTGGCGCTGTCGTTACAACTCGTGATTATTATTTTTAGAGTGGCTCAGTTATTTAAAAAAAAAGCCCATTCAACTATGACAATTTTTTTTTACATAACTGTTTTGGTTTTAACGCGATAACTATTATCCGGCAATAATATGAAAAAAAAATCCTATTTTACTGGTGAGGTGGTAAACATTAATTTTTTCCGACTAAGTTAAAGCTTAAATGCTTGTTTTTTGCAAATGTATTTCGATTTTTTTTCTCGCTCTTTACTTTTTCCCTTTGCCTTTCTTTTAATAGCCAGTTTTGTTGCCCACTTTATCGTCTTTCTTTCTCATGATATTTTGGGCCGGCCAAAGGCTTTCTTTGCAGCAAAGGGAGAAATTAAAAATCTGTAAAGAGTACTAGAGTAGCCCCCAAATGTTGCTTGTTTCAGTCTGTAACTCTGTCATTATTGGTCAAAATTTGCTAAATTTGGTTCCCTTAGAAAGCTCTATCCTCTCTGATTTTGCTTATTACCATATTAATAGTTTAAAAGGAAAAGAAAGCATCCCCTTAAGGGCCTCTGAGGGACTATGTCTCCTCAATTTTGAGCATAACAATACTATATCTGAAACATCAGGCATATTTAATGCTAACCTGCGTGGCAGGCGTTAAAAGGGGAAGGGGAAGGGGAATTTGGGCACGCGAGGGAGAAAGAAAAGGAACGCCTGCAAGGACGCCATTGTTTTCTCCATTTTTCATGCTCAGATTCTGAGCGTAAAAATAGTGATTGGTTAGAATTAATTAAATGTCAATCTTCGACTTAATACCTTTTTCCGATTGGTTGAAATCAACATCACGACATTTGAGTAACTAAACATATGTCGTTAGTGAAGCGTGATGAGATTTCTCTACGAGAATTCATCGTTAGAAGGCATCAATTTCAGCTTAAAAGGAGAATAGAAAAAAGCAGTTAAAGAACCGTATGAAGGAAAAGGCCTGTCAGCAGATGAGTTTTACTGACTGGTTCGGAAAAGTATCATCTCCCAACGGCTTGTCGGTTTTACTCGCCAGAAGAAAGAAAGGAAAAATCATGCTGCCTGTGTGCTTGTTATCTGATGTTTGATCGGCGTTATCAACGGCAATATAATTGAAGACGAAGCGATCTATAGCCAGTTCTATAGCCTTCCCGCAGACGTCCTTTGGGGTTCGTTCGTCACGCATTCATTATGAATGCGTGACGAACGAACCCCAAAGGACGACTGCGTGGAGGCTAAGCGATCTATAACTTTTGGCGATTTTTGGCTAAGGACTTCTTCTTGCCGGTTATAAACCATGGTTATAAAACCGCCAGGAACTTACTTTAACAAAAAATTGTTGCCTTCTTGCAGATCTTCGAAGTTCAGCTCTTCTTTCCCCGCCACCAGCGTTTTTTGTGTGCTCCGCTGGATCCAATTCGTCCTGATAGAAATTCAAAGAGTGCGTGACGGCAAAGTGTCTTAATTTTTCTTAGACAAACATTGCATTGAAAGTTACGAAGAGCCGTTACATTTCTTATTAAATAGTTTTCCAGCCCGATTCCTTCAGCAACAACTTGAATAGATTTATGCTAGATTTTATGTACCTGGGCACGCGTCGTTGCAACTTTCAAGATTCCTTCAGTGGACGACCGCATTTGAACTTTTTTTATAGTACCTTTACTTTATATTAGATTTCTTGTTTTAGGAAAACAAAAGAAAAACATTGCGAGAAATACGACTATAAAAGGTACGTGCATCGCGGCCAGACTTATTTGACAAAAATAAGAATCTTTATTAGCAAAACCAGGGCTGGGAAAACTGTGATGGTCAGATTTTGTAGCTTTCATTGTATGCCAGTGTGGGTCTTGTGATCTCTGGCAATGATTTAATTTCTCTAGAATCGAGGCCCTTGAATTTTCGTGTATTTATACACGCGTATAGCCTGCGACCGCAGACGTATTTCCGGTCGTCGCTTGCGCGTACTAAATCAATTCAGAAACAAGAAGACGCTTTTGAAGTGTACACTTCGGCGTCGTGGAAAGACGGTCCTGGATTCTTTTCGATATCATAACAAAGCTTCAATTTGTTACAAATGACCTTGTGGCTTAAACTTATATAGTCCCTTTTTAGAAAACTACGTGTTCACAGGCGTTAATACTTCCTTAAAATCTTATTTCCATACTTCATTGCAATTCTCTTCTTTCGTACTCAGACAACAAATACACCTTTCCTCGTTTAGGAACCCGTTTGTTACTCCCCTTTGAAACAAACTCACATTCTTTCCTTTATACGTATTACCTCTTTAAACCAGAATTTGCACTGTTTATATAACAATAAATTTTTGACGACACTGGGGTATTTTCCCGAAAATTCCCTTACTTTTCTCTTTTTGTGTAAGAGACGTCATAACTTCTTCACCGGAAGTCTGCTTGGAGCATGTCCGCATCGCTGTAAGAGAATTTGATCATCGTTTCCGTCGTGAAAATGCGCATAACGAGATCTCAGTTCAACTGCCTTTATTTCCTCTACAACAACAGTTTCCTTATTACAGTTAACTCTACACGTTCTCCAGCAACGTAACTAACATCAGAACACTCCTTTACAAAACTTGCTGATAGTGCACAATCTCCATACTGAGGATAATTCATGTACAACACCGCAACATAAATTAGTACATGAAAAACCTTAACACGCAATACAAAAGCAATAATGAAAACACCTACTTTTCGAAACAAAACCAAAAGAAGAGCAAGGATAATGATTCCTATCACAACCTTTACGAAACGACGATAACTGCGTTCTTCTTCCTCTTGTTGACAATCTATCGGTTGGTCTACACACAACACAAACGACTGCACCTCTTTCTCTTTCGAATTACTGTTGCTGCAATCTTCTTCAGTTGTCCAAATCCCTTCACTCTTAAACGTTATACACACTCCTTTTGCAAAACGTTTCTCCATGTAACTTGTGTAATCTTCACTTTGTACAAACTGGTGTCGTCTATTTAAGCATAATGTCTTTGACTGTCTAAATAGTTTCCTTTCATTAACTTTAAGTTCGCGGACCTGCCCATTCTGAAAACGCCTTATTTCCTCTTTTGCTGTGGGCCTACCGCGAACGGTGTGTGTATTTGTACGTGAAGGCGCCATATAACGCAACATACGTATTTCAACAAAATATTCACTACTTCCTCTTCTTAAATAGTCGCGAATTTCATCCTAACTTTCCAAATCACTCGGATCAAAAATCTTCCAACTCTTCCCTAATTGGCTTGTCAATTTCGGACTACTAATGAAAAAATAAAATCACAGAACGAGCAAATTCAGGTAACAAGTCAGAAAAAAATACCCTTCAAATTGCCTATCTTTGATTGGTGGATTTAAATCCTCTGTTTATCATCTCTTCTTGCCACAGCTGCAATAACATAAACAAACTATTTGTGAGGTACGCACGTAAACACGAACTGAACGCTTTTCTCTTTTAATAAGAACTGACATTTCCAAATTTGTATCGGTAAATGTATTTACTCCTATAAAAAACAATTTGTACAAAATCACGTTTCAGTAACGCCAAAACTCCACTTCCGGTTTCACTCAGTTTCCTAAAAGCCAATGGAAATATATCCCTCGCAAAACATTAACTTGCTGCTCCTAAAAGTTAAAAAAAATTAAACCCACAAGTCACCGATCTTTGACTTTTTTGGCTACAGTTTCGTCTCCCTCATCTTACGACCGCGCGAGCCAAAAATAGGATTTCTTTCTTTCTTAGATAAACTATGTAAACAACTAATAATAATAATAATAATAATAACTTTATTAATCTCCTTAAAAAAGGCTTTTCAGCTTAATTTACAATGTCAAATATCTAAAACTTAGTTTTCCAAAAATACGCTTAAAAAATGCTGTTTTATTTTAACCTTAAATACATCTAAATTAGTGATAGACTGAAACTCGTCTGGGAGACTATTCCACAGCCTTTGGCCTCTGAAGGTAAACGCGCGCTGACCTGCAGCCGTCCTACAGAGTGGTATATGTAGGCGGTCCCTATTCCTAGTGTTGCAGTTGTGCACTTCCGATCTGGTTTTAAACTTCTGACAAAGATATGGAGGTGCAAGTCCATTTAAGCATTTAAATACCATGGTAGCATCCCTAACCTCAAGTTGTTTAACAATTGGCAGCCACTGTAACTGCTTAAGAATAGGTGTAACATGATCAAATTTCCTCGTTCCAGAAACTATCCGGGCTGCAAAATTTTGCACTGTCTGTAATAGCTCGATGTTTTTCTTGGTGGTATTAGCCCATACTGATGAACAGTACAATAATTTACTGAATACGAGAGAATTAATTATAGTAATCAACGTACGCCTATCAAACAGGTATTTTACGCGATTTATTTGACAAAGGCTACCTATACATTTCGAAGTTAATTGAGTTATATGTTCGTCGTACGTTAAATTACAGTCCATTGTAACCCCCAGGTTTTTCGCAGACTTAGATGATGTAATCTCCTTGCTGAGTAGTGTAATGCTTAGATCATCTGGTATCTTCATCAGCAACTGCGGAGTCCCCAGAACCAGAAGTTTTGTTTTTTCCGGGTTAATGAGTAGACTGTTTTTACAACACCATGTGGCTATGTTCCTAAGATCTTCTGTCAGCTGAGCTGCGGCTAAGGTGGCATCACGTACAGGAAATGAGAGGTATAACTGTGAGTCATCAACATAGCACTCTAACGACCCTACCTTAGGTACAGATGGTAGATCGTTGATGTAGATATTAAACAATGCTGGGCCCAAAATTGATCCTTGTGGTACACCATACGAGACTAGGCGGGGTTCAGATGTTTCGAGCTTATCTCGAGATATCTCAAAAAAACTTCCGCTCTAACTTTAGCAACGAACTGCAAGTTAACGATATTCCTGAGCGTCGCAAAACCTTAATACTTCGCGCACCGCCTCAAATATTTATTGAAGCCAACTCTAAACAAAAAGGATTGTTTATGATCAATTGTATATTTTTTTGCGCAATGAAGAAATCATTTCTACACATCAATTGGGCTTTCGCTCTTTACACTCAACTGTAACTGCTCTCCTTAAAGTTACTGATAACTGGGCCTTTAATATCGATCGTGGTAATGTTAATGCTGTGGTTTTTCTTGATTTAAAAAAGGCATTTGACACTGTTGACCATGATATCCTTTTATCTAATATGAACCTTTACGGAATACAAGGAATTGCTCTCGATTGGTTTAGATCGTATTTGACAAATTGTACACAACGATGTCTCGTTCATGGTTCCCTTTCTAGAATCTGTTCACTTAAATGCGGGGTACCTCAGGGAACAATTCTTGGTCCCCTTTTATTTCTTATTTTGTATCAACGATTTGCCAAACTGCCTAACTTCATGCCAGCCTAGGATGTATGCTGATGACACACACATCACTTATGCAGATGTTGATGTGAATTCAATACGGTTAAATTTGAATCACGATTTAGGTAATCTAAACAAATGGCTTATTTCTAACAAACTTACTTTGATCACTGCTAAAACTGAATTTATGCTTATTGGATCAAGACAAAAATTGAGTACTTTATCAGCCAACCCGAGCTCTCGATTGATAATGTTTCTATAGAAAAAGTTACCTGTGTAAAATCGCTTG